TAGAGGAGGGATACCTGAAGAGCGGCTGCCAAGGCAGCGCTGGTCGCCTCAAACGACGAACGGCGAGGCAGCTCGAGACCGGCCTTGAGGGCCATCTCCCTCCAGAGTTCTTCCGCCGGACGGCTCAAAGGCAGGGAGCCGGCATCTTCAAGAAGAAGGCCAGTGGAGGCTGCCTCACGGCCCCTCTTTTGCTTCTTCTCAGGGGCCTTCTCTGTCCCCTTCTGAGGAGCCACCTTCGTGGGGACGACCGGTGGTGGGAGGACAGCCTCAAGGGCAGGGGTCCCGGAACCCTGAGCCAGCACAGTGGCGATTAAGTGCTGCTCACCCTCAGCCGTTCGTCGGGCAGCATCAGAAGACGAGGAGTTGGAATCCGAGGCGGGGGCGTTCTTGGCTTTCGCCATTGCGGCTTTAGCAACGGCCGCCTTGGCCTTCCTTGTTTTTAGACACTCAGTGTGATTCATCTGAGCTCTATCTGGTGGAGAACCTGCAGGAAACAATAAAGGGTCAGGAGACGGGCGGAGGATGTAATAAGACACTCACCTCGAAGGACAGGACCGCCCGGTGCCCCGAGACGAGCGTCGAAGGGTGGAAAAAGTCCAGGAACACGGGCGGTACCTATGCCTGCCCCGGAGAGTGCCTCGAAGGTCAGGTATCCAGCAATAGGGCAGACGCCGCCCTCCAACACCTTCTCCACGTCCCAAAGTAGGTCGTCGGTCGGCTCCGGTGACTCGATCTTTGGGGGATAACCACTCCACCGGACCGGGAGGGGAGGCCCATCGTATCTGAGGAAGAAGAAGCGGTTCTTCCAGTCGTGGATAGACGAAGGGTAGTTCTTGAACAGCTTCCTTCCTGGACGTGCGGCCACGCTCAGATAACCGTCGGAGTTCTGGGGAGTGATGCGGTAGAAGTAGTGGAAAAGCTCCAGAGTGGCAGTGGCTCCCGCTAGTTTGCAGCGCACCAAAAAGGCAGATATGAACCTATAAGAATTTGGCATGAATTGCGCCGGGGCCACCTGGAAGCAGTGGAAGAATTCCACATAGAATGGATGGAGTGGGAACCGCAGCCCGGCTTCAACGGAATCCAAGTGGAGCATGATCATCCCCGGACGTCTCCTCATCACATGCTCAGCGCCTCTCACGCTCCAGACGAACGGCGGGGGGAAGAAAGTACGGATTTTGTTGAGAGCCACGCGGGAGAGGACTTGGTCGTGGTCAAGGGCGCTCCTGATCGGGCAGATGTGGCGCTCCATATCCGTAGGGATGCCCAGATCATGCACCTCCATATCGGAACCGGATTCGGCCTCCTCTCCAGAATCGTAATCGGCGGGACGCTCGTTCAGGGGGACTGCGTCAATAACATCTACGGCCCCGTCAGCATTCCCAACCCTGGCGTCGCTCCCACTACCTTGAGAAGCGTCATCCGGCTCACCATCAGCCCGGATGGTCCCTACCGTCGTGGCCGAACCAGAGGTCCCAGAAATACTGGCCTTTCCGGGGGAGCGCGCACTCACATTGTCCGAAGAGGAGCCCGAAGAGGAACCCGACGAACCAGAATCAGAACTTGACGAAATCTCCATAGAAGTCATTTCGGCTAAGAATCAGAACAAAGAAAAGAAGCAGAGGGGGAAAATTACCTTACAAGGGGATTAGCCGAACTCGGAAGCGGGGGAGAAGACTTGAAGAGCTGCGGAAATTCGAAAGCAAGAGAGCAGAAATTGGGAACCCTAATCCAGAGGGAAAACCCGGCATTTATAGGAGAAACACCGATGGGGGAACCAACGAGGGGCTGACACGTGGCAAGGAGCGTATTCCGCCTCACGCGCTGTGCGTGGGGCGAAAGCGTAATGATGACGTTTCCTCGGAAAATGCTCCGCCGCTACAGCAGCCGTCACCTCGTTTCCTGAACCGTCGACAGCTGTTAAGCACCATGACCACGAGCGTATGCTTCCACCGGATGCAATAAACACAAGTACCAAGATACGAACGTCTACTTCGAGGGACTTCATACTTCCTTATGTCCTGCGCATGCTTAGAACATCAGAAGTGGGGGACTTGTGTTGGGTTAATGGCCCAAGCCGAGGTCCGGCCCATTAACCCCTTTTTACATGACGTACGTCCAGTTAGAACACAAAGGTTAGCCCGCAGGCCCATGTTCCTTGGGGAGGGACGAACGTCTTGTGTTGAGGGCTCTTGGGCTCAACGGCTCATCACGACGGACGTCTATGCAGGGGCAAGGAGCAGGACCACGGGCCATCAGGGGTGACGACGAACGTCTCCTGAGCAAGCCCGTAGTCATCGGAGGAAACCCAGTCCACATGGTGAGAATCCATCAAGGCCAGGAGACGAACAGCCGGAACCTCTTGAGGGTCACTTGGAACGATCCAGCTCGCTTCCCAGGCGGACGAACGTCCCCATTACTTAGGCGGGAAACCTAGATTCTGGCGGGAAGTGCATTTAATGCTGAAGATTTGGTGGTTGGGACACAAGCGGTCCACAGGCCTCCACGTCAGCATAGCCACCTGCCCATTGGCGGGTATAAATAGAAGCATTTATTTCATTGTAAAGGGTTGGCAACTTTCTATTCTTAGCATTCTAGCTATAGCATTCTTATTGGTAGCATCTGCACTACCTCGTAAGACGAACGGCCGACGTGCCTTCTTTTAGCAAGTAGATTGTACTTAGGGGAGTTATTACGAAGTTAATAATACCTACTTACATTGCCTGCTATTTTCCTCTGTCTTCCTGATCCATCTGATAGTTGTTGGGCTAGATATTCATACACTCACTCCATTCGAAATCTTGGGCTTACGTGTTGGGCCTGAAGGTTGAAGGAATAAACCTCAACAACTAGTTAATTAGTTTATTAGCATTCTTGTTACATTTGTCATTATACTAGTTAATTAGTTAATTAGCATTGTTGTTACATTTTTCATTATACTAGTTATTTACTTCATTAGTATTCTCATTAATTGTTAAAGCAACTCTACTGCATATTCCCCATGTTTATGGTATTGCATTTATTCTCGATCCTCGTTATAGACTTGCTAATTTGGAAGATTGTTTCAACTTCTATTATCTTGCGTTTTTTGGTGAATTTCCAATGTATGAGGATAACCCCATAGATCCGAAAACGGAATACAACGAGGTTAGTACTTTATTTTATGCCTTATTTAATGAGTTTCGTGCACAATATAGCAACGCTCCCCCTCCCCCGTCACGAACATCTTCATCTAAAGGAAAATCGATTTTTAAATCTGCATTTGGCAATCTTATGAAAAAACAAAAACAACTCACGTCACTGAACAAAGTGCATTGAATGAGATTACTTTGTATTTAACATATGAAGTTGATTTTGAAGAAAATGATGACTTTGACGTTCTAGACTGGTGGAAGTCAAAAGAAAGAACGTTCCCGATTTTAGCACGGATGGCTAAGCAAGTACTATCAATGCCGATTTCAACAGTTGCTGTGGGACAAGAATTTAGTTCGGCCGGCAACGTCCTAACGGCATCTAGATCGAGATTGAGCGCGGAGTATCTTGAGACGCTTATATGCTACCACGATTGGTTGAAGGCCGCACGTAGAACTCAAGAAATGAGCATCACCCCTCACAAGATTTTATGGATGACTCAACAACCGATGGTGGCTCTACCTATGCCGGAGATTCCGATTGATTAGTATTTTAGAATTTATTATAAAATGTATTTTATAGCACTTGTCAAATTTATTTATACCTGTACTTCATATTTCAAAATTGTAAACTTGTACTTCATATTTCAAAATTGTAAATTTGTAGTTGTACTTCAAATTAATTTGTAAACTTGTACTTCATATTTCAAATAAATATGTGTTCACTTTTTTATATGTAGCACTTCTCAAATTAATTAATTGGTTACAAACTAACGACTTAAAATTATTTTTCTAAAATATAAAGCCGGTTTTTAAATTAAAAATACATTTACAATATGTAATTTGTTTAAATACTTATACACCTATTTTGTAACATTTGTAAATTATAAATCAAACCACTTTTGTAAGTACAAATAGTTTTAGTTTTACTTAATTCATTAAATTAATTAATTTATTTTACAATATGTATAACTTAAAAAAATGAAATCAAACCTCCCAAACGGCTATATAGCCGTTGGGGCTATGGGTGGGGGGCAGGGGGGTCCCGGGGGTGGTGGTGTGGGGAGTGGGGTTCAAAAACATCTATAAATACATCTATTTTCTAACATTTGTCTACACCTCTTCTCCAATTCTTCTCCAACTCTTCTCCATCTTCATCTTCTCTTATTATCCTACATTCCTACTTATACATATACCATTTTAAATATGGAAAGTACATCTTCCCTTATGCAAAACAATTTTGACAAGTGGAAGGACCCGAAGACCGGACTGTGGTGGGCAACTTGCAGGTGGTGCAAGAAAGAGTGTTGCTTGGGGCGTTCATACGGATACAGGATGCCAATAAAACATATGAAGTCCTGTGACAAAGGGAAAACAACAACCAACGGTAGGGATGGACCCGGGCCGGTCCGGTTCCGGTTCCGGGTGGGCTTTTTTTCGGGTAACATGGGCCCGGAACCGGCCCGGGTTGATACCGGGTCCGGGCCTAACCGGGCCGGGCCGGGCCCGGTTCAATGTTTTTTTTTTTGACTTTCTTATCTCCCTACCCCCCCCCCTCACCCCCACGCCCCAAACCTCCCTAAAACACCCAGCCCTACCCTAGGAAAAGAAAAACAATTGAAAAAACCAAAAAATAAAATAAAAATGAACCGGGCCCGGCCCGAACCGCCCGGGCCGGTTCAACAAAAATAGGGCCCGGTACCGGCCCGCCCGACCCGCCAACACGGGCTAAAAGCCCGGAACCGGCCAACCGGGCCCGGTCCGGTCCGGGCCCGCACAGTAGCGGGCCGGTCCGGTTCGGCCCGGCCCGGCCCAGTCCATCCCTAACCAACGGTGGCGGAAATCCCAATTGATATTCATTAGAAAATGTATTTCGTATTGTTATTTTTTTCTCAATTCTCAAATGTAGTTCTTATTTCAAATAAATGCACTTGAACTTTGTTTTTAATAGGAATTTGTATAATATATAAATAATTAAAAAAAATACTGGCCCGGCCCGGCCCGGCGGGTGGCCCGACCCGGGCAGGTGGCCCGGCCCGAACCGGAACCGGCCATTGCCCGGGCCGGTCCCGGGCCTACCATTACAAGACCCGAGGCCCAACCGGGCCTTGACCCGGCCCGGGTCCATCACTAGGCGTACGCAGTAGATTTCAAATTGTGTCTGGTAGGTAGTTCCTAAACAAGTAACTCCAATCTGATTGCATTGTAGTTCTCAATTGTTACTCCACAAGAAACTGCTGCTAGAAGGTAAGGTATACATTTCAGTCTTTAGGTGCCTGCAACTGCCTCCTAACCAGTGCTGTATAAATGCCATCCTTGCTTAGAAGCTCATCATGAGTCCCACTCTCAACTATCTGCCCACCAGAGATCACTGCCACAGTGTTTGCACTCTTCACGGTGGAAAGCCTGTGAGCTATGACAAGTACAGTCCTCCCTTTCATAAGAGAATCCATCGCATCCTGCATCCGTGAAACCCCAAAATATGATTGATTATCTAAATTGCCAAGAAATAAATAATACAAATCCTGGAGAAATATTACATACCTGAACAAGATACTCGCTTTCAGCATCAAGAGCACTTGTGGCTTCATCCAGAAGTAAAACCCTCGGATTCATCAGCAAAGCTCTAGCAATTGCTATTCTCTGTTTCTGACCACCTGAAAGCCTTAGCCCACGCTCTCCCACATGTGTTTGGTATTTTTCAGGAAAATTTGAAATGAACTCATGGGCATTTGCCATTTTCTGTTTCCACACATTGAATAAATATTTTTTCAAACAATATTGGACAATGAATTAATAAAAAATGATCGGGTTTCCATACAGTGAACAGATAAAAAAAACGAACCTAGTGTAAAAATGTGAATGAATAGAGCTAAAAAAGGAGAAAACACAGGAAGAAAGCATGGTGGCAACTGGCAAGATTGTAATCAAGTGCAATTTCTGCCACCATGCTTATTTGGAAAGTGCATATCTAAGACTTAAAAGTGTAACTGCAATATGTAAAAGTGCATCTTTTTAGGTAGTTTTCATTTTTTCAGTGGAGGACTGCTTCATTCACATACACATAAAGTAGAAAATGAATTAATGGGGTTGAAACTTACAGCTGCATTTTCAATATCTATCATGCTTGTTGTGCCACCCAAGCCATAGGCAATGTTCTCTTCAATAGAGCAATTGAAAAGAATGGGTTCCTGGCTCACTATGCTGACCTGTACTTTTGAAGTAGCATTTATTCATGAAAATACAAAAATGGTTTGAAAAATGTAATGAATTGCAAAGGTCTTTTGCAGAAAGTTTCTGCTACAGTAGTCACATTTAAAGCATACCAATTACCAAGTATTCATTCAAGCACATATTGTAGTACCATAAATACCTTTTTGTGTAAATGTTCATGAGAGATTTCTAACAAAGAAACCCGGTTGAGGAAGACCTTTCCTTGGGTGGGATCATAAAATCTCTCTATCAAATTAGCTATTGTAGTCTGCAGCATAAGTCAAGTGTCAAGCCCAATACCTCTTGTAACTGTTGCGTCTTACTACGTGTGATTTACTACGTAATAAGCAGATACATGTGCAAGTTTGTTGCATTCTCTGGACACGCATGGCACTGGGATAGAATTTATAATGAAGAAAGACTATAAGAGATACCTTTCCGCCGCCACTTGGACCAACCAGTGCAACTTTTGACCCAGGTTCTAGTTTCAACGTAATACCCTAAAATCATAGTATGTGTGTATTGCAGTGAGCATAATTGTCACAAGGATATGACATGAGAAGAGGAGTGATTTATTTACCTTGAGAACCATATGGTTGGGTCGGGAAGGATAAGCAAACCAAACATCATCTAATTCTACCTCTGCATCTTGATCTCTGTGTAAAACGACAGTTCACCAAAGCACTGAACATCATGTGGGGTACATTGGCTATAACCACTCACTTTTTAACGGCTTATAAATGACTATTATATATCCACTTAAGATGTACAACCGGTACTTAATTTAAAAAGATCGAAGCCTAATTAATAAATTGGAAACTGGACTAGCAAGAGTGCTTATATTGGAATTTGTGACTTGATTTAAGTTGATAGTTATAAAACATAGAAATAGAATTTGTAGGCATAAAAACTAATAATGTGTTGGTGAACAAATGATGGATAAAAAAATCAGGTTTAATATTTTTTGGGGTACAAGAGTATGTGCTCAGCTTGCAATCTCATGAAATGCGATTGCAAGGCTGATTTAAATCTATGTGCACAATGGAAAATGAATAAATAGGTTAGACAGCAAGAAAGGAGGGATGATGGTGAAGATTGCGAATGGAAGCCATGTTCATAGTTGTAAAGTTTAGTCTGAAAGATGTGTAAGCAATGCCATTCACTCGGTAGATTAGGTTCTTTTTGTTAATTGCATCAAAGCTTGACATAGTATTGATGGAAAGAAACAGGAGTTTTATTTCACGGACTGAAGGATGTGTGGAAATAGCAGTCAAGTATTGACTATAGAAGCAGTCCAACTTACCCTAAAGGACAAATATTTCCTGATTTTGGCATTGATGAGACCCGATCCAAGAGCTGAAAAACTCTCCTACTTGCTCCTGCAGCTTTCATCGCTGCAGTGTATAATCCAGATAGTCCAGATACCGAGGATCCAACTGCAAAATGAGGTAAAATACATAACACATCATATACCATGTTAAATTCAATACACATTGAGTTAAGGAAAATATCAAGGGTCACTTACCAGTTAAGCTATAAAGAATAAACGATGTCAGAGATCCAGCTGTCATTGAGCCATTAATTGTCAAAGTAGCTCCATAAAGCACTACAATAATGACTGATAGGGTTGATGCTGCATTTAGGCATCCAGAGAAAAGACCAACTACTCTCTACAGAGAAAACACACCGCAATAGGAAATTAATTAGTGCAGATTTTTCATCATCATCATCACCCCAGTGCCGCAAAGGCTCCCACCTACGGTGGGGTAAGGCGGCTCGGATGTACGCAGTCTTACCCCCTGTACTAAAGCACAGAGAGACTGTTTCCAGATGACCCATAGTGAAAATCGCGTCAAATTGCATGGATTGACTTTGGCTCCATTGCAAATGATGGAAATTTTTCTTCAAACTAAAAAAATCTGGTTCCTTTTATTTTTTGTCCTATTTTTATATTGCCCAAGGTGGGCAAGGGTGAGGTTTAATATTAAGGAACTTACAGCCTGAGTAAGTCCAAGGTTCAAAGTCTCTTCCACTTTTAAAGAGTACCGTGATGCCTCATAATCTTCTTGCGCAAAAGACCTGACTGTGCGTATTGCCCCAAAACTTTCCTACAAACAAGCAGTCAGCAACTAGAAAATCTACTAAAATAACAAGGCTGGCACAACCTGTTGATAACTTATGAGGAGTGATGCAACCTTAATTCGAAATCCAGTAAAACTCTGCCAATCTAAGTAGAGCAACAAACCTCAGCAATTGATGAGGCAGCTGCCGCTGCAGCTTGTGTCTTGTGGGAAAGTTCACGCATATAACGGCCAAATTTGCGTACACCAACTGATATGGCTGGAACAACTACTAAAGCCAACACTGAACCATGAAGCATAAAAACAGAAACATGAATACCTAGTATTTTAAAAGCATAGTGGGAAAGTGGAAATCTGTCCTTGCTTAAAAAGATCACTGGCCATAATTACATGTTAGTTTCCATGAAGTTGTATACATGAATCCTAGACCAATAAATGCAGTAGAAAGATTCCTCAGAGCCTCTGAAAGATTTGTTGTTGCTGCACTTTTTATGATCTGAGTGTCTTCAGAGAGCCTACTAAGGAGCTCCCCAGTTCGGGTGACATCAAAGAAGGCTATCTCCTACATAATGAATGAACTTTTTCAAAGCATGCCATATGTTAGAGAGACGTGATACTTGTAACTACAGGAATAGGAGTCATTACTTGGTGAATGAGGTGGCTGAATAAGTTCCTTCTCAAGCGAGCCACAACTCTTTCACTAGAAGAAGAGAACAACCATGCACGAAGTGCTGTGCAGATTGAACTGAAACAAGCAAAATGTTGTTAACTCCATCAGTGCAATAGCGATCAAAGTGGAACTGCAGGGCTAGTCCTATCATACTATAGGCCTGGAGAGATGATGAAAGAATGAACTTAAAAAACTTAGCTAATATCTTAAAACATATTTCCTCCATTGACATATAAGTACCTTACAAAAATTACTAAAATTAAATGAATTAAACATAATATACAATTTTTCAATAATTATGCAGCTACATTTTTCATGAAGTAGCTATAATTACATGCTTTCTGATTGCAAGGTCATTTATAACTATTTTAAGATTAATATATCAATATACTTCTGAACGCATAGAATCTTCAAGTCAATCAACCTCGCTTCAAACATTAATGCTTTTAAATAATTTCTCATAATTACCAAACCATTCACTTAATATGACACAATTTGTTTTAGATCCCTGCGATATACTGTTTTTGTTTTTCATCCCTGTAATATGCATTTTTTTGTTTTTAGTCCATTTCTAATTCTGAAACCACTCTACTTAAAAAAAAATATTGTCACTTGTATAAATCTACTAGAAATATTTAAATTTGTCCTTTTATAATTTTTTTGAGGCTAATATGAGAGTTAAAATAATGTAAAACTAATTATTCACATTTTTAAAAGCATATATTAAAAACCTTCTAAAAAATAAAATTTAATACTATTTGAATAACATGACAAAGAATTAGATGAAATCTATTAGTCAGGATAATTTTGTAGTCAAGCAGAGGTTGCTATCATCAGTGATGGACCAAAAAGAAAACTAACATAAATTGCAGGTACGAAAAACAAAAAAATAAATTTGCAAGGATGCAAAACAAAATGTACTATATTTGCAGGGACTAAAAACATACTATGTATTTTGAAAACAATAAGTTCTTTTGTTTAGATTTTGCCTGAGATCCCAATAACTAGTCAAAGCCAACTAAATCAACACCTGATTACTACCAGTAAACTAATGATAAACTTTAGGGTAAGAAAATAGTTTGGAAACAAAAAAAAAACATTTTTGGCTCATAAAAATGTATAGCATTAACAATATACTATTGCATGGATATTGCGAGACGGTTAAATAATTGGGGGCCCTCATTATTTGGGATTTGGGAACGAAGCAGGCGAGTGCCTTGGCTGCCCTCACGACCAGGCCTGAGTGGCTGAGTAGATGACAGAGTCTGGAAAGAACTATTGTTTCTATGAAGAGTGCGGCTTCCACCACTAGTGCAAGACTCGTTAATATCAAGCATATACATGAACTCAGAATTTAAGACAGAGGTTGAAATGAAACATCAAAACAATAAGAGAGGTCAAATCTCTTCTGGAGTTTTTGCAGGCTTAAAAAGGAGGAAGTGGAGAATGCATTACTATATAGACATGTAGCAATTTCAATAAAACTAAAGAACGTACCCCACAATTACAATAAAAAATATTTCAAGAATAGTGCTTTTTACAGCTCCTATTGCTTCATCTCTCTGTTCATCAGTTTGGATATTCCTTGAAACAATATCGATAATTGTTCCCCCAAATTTTGGCTGCAAAACAAATTCAAACGCATTAAGATTTCGTATTTGTGGGCTTGGAGAGTGGACGTGGACCGAGAATTTCCTAGAGAAGGACTACTTACAATCAAAATGCTAGAAGTTGATGCAATCAAGAGTGCTATTGTTGCAATGACCAACTTACCCGCTTCAGGTTTGGCCTGTTAATAGCAAGTTTAAAAGTTATACGTAGGTATAAAAGCTTGGCATACTAATTAACCATGATTATGATTACCACATGATTCATCCACTAGAGGAATGACCCATATAACTTACTAGTGAAAGCACCCGGAAGAATCCCACGTTTGGGGCCTGAAGATTTCATCATTTGACAAAAGGTTAGCTACTTATGCATTTCACAATGGTCAAATAAACATAACTCTCAGACCGAAAGTCCTAAGGAATCTTGAAATTACCGGTGCTCCATCCCCATGCTCAAGGTCAGTGAGCTGACCATTCTCGGCTGCATCATCTCTCTTTCTACCTGCCTATTAAAACAAGATAATCAAGTTAACCATGAGACGGTAATTCCCACCGCAGGCATCACATATCAAGACAGACACAATTCATCAAAACACCAAAGAATCAAATTATCAAACACATGCCAAGCACTCGAATTTACTACATAAAGTCCCAAAAGAAATGACACACGTAGGAACAGAAAAGAGCTTCTCTCAATCAGACAAACAGTACCATACGTATATTACAAGTGCAAATTCTGGAAATTTATACAATTCACATACAAGAAATGAGAAACAGAACAGCATGCCCACTCAGGTACTCAGGTGGGGGTTATTATTATTACTCCGTATTAAATAAAAAAAATAAAATCTTACATGTCTGGTCAAGAGAGGATCCCTTTCACTGCCAAGGCCATGGCCATGCATTATTCCTGAAAACCTGTCCGGTGTATGAATATCACCTGCAATAAGAGGACTTTTGAAGTCTGTGAGACTTCGGAGAAATACACTTATATGAAAGTCCGTGGACCCATCATCATGGTTCCTGAACTGGGTATAAATCGGGAAAACGAGTGGTTCTTAGAAAAAATGGAAGGTAACTTTAGTGAGGGGGCCTTTTTAGCTACTTTATTGGAAGGGAAATTAACTAGAAGAGTGCTCTTCATGTCAGGCCGGCCTGACGGGCTTCCCCGTCCGGCCGAGCCCGTTTGGGTACCTTCCCGGTGGAATTTTTTGATGAAATTTTTTGAGCATGTTCCTCATTAAGTCTAGTTTGTCCATATCAAATTTCAGCTCAAAATTCAATCGGGAAGGTCGTCAAATGATTTTTGCAAGTTAACTGGTCCGGAATATGTATTTTCCGGACCAGTTAACTTGCAAAAATCATTTGACGACCTTCCCGATCGAATTTTGAGCTGAAATTTGGTATGGACAAACTAGACTTGATGAGGAACATGCTCAAAAAATTTCATCAAAAAATTCCACCGGGAAGGTGTCCAAAAGGGCTCGGCCGGACGGGGCAGCCCGTCAGGCCGGCCTGACATGAAGTTTCATCTTAACTAGAATATAACTAAAACTCAACGAGTTTCTCAATCTATGATCTAACTAGTTTTTAGACTTTTCTATGACCGAAAATAAATAAAAAATCGTTTATATTTAAAGGTTGAATGACAAAAATACCCTTATTTAAAATATGTGCATTTTGCACTAATTTCGCCAATTAAAATTACTGCACTTTATATTGTCGTTACTGCATGACATTAATGCACGACTTCAATGCACATCCGGTAATAATCACTGCACTTCCATCAAAATTAATTTCCTTCTTATTTACTCGAGGAATCCATTTTTGTTTTTGTTTTTTTGTTTTCTTAGATTTAATAATTTTATTGTTTTACATTGAGTATATTGCATTTCATGATGATATTACTACTTTGTGTTACTCCAATACTGGACATAATTACTTCATAACAATTGTGCAAAATTTCTTAATGCATTCATTCACTGCCATATACAACATGTCTATTTACATATATATTCACTGCTCATACTCAACGATATCTACCGTGATGTTCACTGCGTATATTCGATGTCCATATTTAATGCCCTCAATCCCTAATTTTTGAAATTCCAAAATTTAAAAATAAACAAGCAAAAATGAGGGGTACGGCACTCCACAGCAAACACATCTTCAAACTCAGCGCCGCACCCATCCGAAGCACGTGCTCATGAAGCAGAACCCCACAAAGTTGTAAGGAGTGCGGCAACGTTACTTGGGAAATTGGTCGCTGAGATCTGGCTGACCAAGAAGTGTGCCCGGATCTGGCGGGGAACCTTCGAGACGACGGCTTACTAGTTCAGAGGCGAATTGGCGTGGCTCAACTTCCCTAACCCCCGTAAAAACGACGGCGATTTGGGAGAGTACCATCTGTTTCATTCCTCCGTGGACGCCAAGCTACAAGACATTTGCAAGAATATGCTCGAGGGCTGTGGACTGCGGGTCATGGGGCGGCGGCAGATGGCGGTCCATGGGGCGGCGGCGGCAGGGTCGTGCGATGCAGGCAGGTGGATCTATGGAGATGGAGAATGGAGGCTAGGGTTGGAGAAAAGAGTAGGAGCTTAGGATTTTATAGATATAACCTAAAGGGTATATCTGTCCACCTAAATTATTTTTTTAATTATTAATGACGAATTTTAATTAAATATTATTAATTTTAATATTATTTAGGTAATAAAACTAGTTAGGTCATAGATTGGGAAAATGAAGAAGTTTTAGTTATACCTAGGATAATTATACCTTTATTGGAAAGGAATTTCATCCAAACCACACCAGTGACACCACGGACTCGACTACCTTACTACTTTTTTGCTACTTTTTTTTCTACTACTCCCTCCGTATCTTTAAAATCTTCACATTTGAAAAATAGGTAGATTAAGAATAGTGAAAGAGAATATGAATTATTGAGGGTATGATAGGAAGATAGTTGAATAAGTTGATGGAATGTAGGATAAATCCAAAAAAAGTAGTTGTAATAGTGTATTATTTTCAGAATTATTGAGGGTATGATGGGAAGATTTAGAAATGAGAAGATTTTTTTGTTACGGACGAAAAAGGAAAGTGGGAAGATTTTAAAGTTACGGAGGGAGTACTTTTTTGCTCTTAAAAGGGCAAATTAAAAATTGCAAAGAAACCAAAGGCAAACCGACCATGCTGGAACTGTGGACAGATGGGGCATTGGGCCAAATTATGTCCAAATAAAAAGGCCAAGGCTCAATCTGGGGGACCTCAAGTCAACATGGTGACTGGAGGGACTAGTTCTAATGGCCTGCGGTTGGAAGAACAGTGATGATGGGAAACACAAGTGCTGCAAGTGTGCAAGGAATTGGAAAAGTAGAAATAAAATTTCCTTCGGGAAAAGTTCTATCTTTGCATGGTGTGCATCACGTTCCCGAAATTAGAAGGAACATTGTGAGTGGTTCCATTCTTGTTAAGGAGGGTTATGAGTTATCCTTTAAATTAAATAAAGTTGTAATTTTATTTGGTGGAATTTTTATTGGCAAGGGTTACTTGTCTGATGGACTTTTTAAGATTGTGGTTGATTATTTTGAATTGAATTATGTATCTGAGAATTGTGATTCTTCTTGTTTATGGCATTGTCGTTTGGGTCACGTTAATTTAGATTCTGTTAAAAGAATGATGAATTTAAATTTAATCCCTAAGCACTCTATTGATAAAACTAAGAAATGTATAGTATGTGCTACTACTAAACAAGTAAGAAAACCTTATCACTCAATTGATAGAAATTCAGAATTACTTGATTTAATTCATACCGACATTTGTGAGTTTAATGGAGTGCTTACTCGTGACCAAAAGAAATACTTTATCACTTTTATTGATGATTATTCTAAATATTGCTATGTGTATCTACTTAAGGGTAAAGATGAAGCTCTTGAAAAATTCTTAATTTTTAAGAATGAAATAGAGAATCAAACTGGCAAGAAAATTAAAAGGTTAAGATCTGATAGGGGAGGAGAGTATACTTCTAATTTAGTTGTACTAGAATGCCAAAAATATGGTATAGTACATGAGGAAACACCTCCTTATTCACCACAATCAAATGGAGTAGCTGAACGGAAAAATAGAACTCTTAAAGATATGATTAACAGCTTATTAGAGAACTCTGGATTACCTAAGTTTATGTGGGGGGAAGCCTTGAATACGGCATGCCATATTCTGAATAGGATTCCTATGAAACATAAAGATAAGTGTCCATTTGAACTCTTGACGGGCAGAAAACCAAGTTTGAAATATTTTAAAGTGTGGGGCTGTCTTGCAAAAGTATTAGTCCCTGAACACAAAAGAAAGAAACTTGGGCCTAAAACTGTTGATGCTATTTTTATTGGATATGTTGAACATTCTTATGCATTGAGATTTTTGGTTATTAAATCTGAAATTTCCGGCATAGATGTTAACACTATTGTAGAGCTTCGTGATGCTACTTTCTTTGAAGATGTTTTTCCAATGAAAACAGGTGTGCCCCAAAATACTTCTTTTAAAAATCAAGAAACCACATTTAATTCAATTCCTGATCAAGTGGAAAAGATGACAAATGTGGGGGTAGAATCTGGTAGTTCTAGTCATATTGTTTTTGAATCAAATGATATAGATGAGCCTAGAAGAAGCAAACGAGCTAGGATCACTAAAGATTTTGGAAGTGATTTTATCACTTACAATATTGAGGGTGATCCAATTTCCTTTAGAGATGCAATGGCCACGTCTGAGGCCATGTATTGGAAGGATGCCATTAAAAGTGAAATGGACTCTATTGTTCAAAACGGAACATGGGAGCTCGTTGACCTTCCTCCTGGTTGTACCACTATTGGATGTAAATGGATTTTTAAAAAGAAGTTAAAACCAGATGGAACCATTGATAAATACAAGGCCAGATTAGTTGCTAAGGGTTACAAACAAAAAGAAGGTATTGATTTTTTCGATACATATGCTCCGGTTGCAAGAATGACCACAATAAGAATGCTTATAGCAGTGGCATCCGTATATGGTCTTAAAATTCATCAAATGGATGTTAAGACAGCTTTTCTTCATGGTGAACTTGAAGAAGAAATTTATATGGATCAGCCTGAGGGATTTGTGGCAAAAGGCAATGAGAGAAAAGTTTGTAAACTAGTTAAGTCTTTATATGGACTTAAGCAAGCCCCTAAGCAATGGAACGAAAAATTTGATAAAATAATTTCTTCGTTTGGATTTACTCTTATAGATGCTGATCAAAGTGTTTATTATAAAAGTAAAGGTGATGTAAGTATTATTTTATGCCTATATGTTGATGATATATTATTATTTGGCACTAATGATAATATTATTTTTGAGACTAAGTCATTTTTGAAAACAAAGTTTGAAATGAAGGATATGGGGGTGGCGGAAGTAATTCTTGGGCTAAAGTTGAATAGATCAACTGAAGGCATTTCTATTTCCCAGTCTCATTACATTGAAAAATTAATTGAGAAATTTGGATTTAAAAATAGTAGAATTGCTAAAACACCCTATGATCCTTCTGTAGCTTTGTATAAAAATGAAAGTGGTGTTCCTGTGTCTCAATTAAAATATTCTCAGATGATTGGTAGCTTGGGTTACTTAGCTAACTGTACTAGACCTGATATTGCATTTTCAGTGTCTAAACTTAGTCGGTACACTTGCTGTCCAAACAGAACTCATTGGGAGGCTTTGGATAGAGTATTCAGATACTTGAAAGGAACTATTTCCTTGGGTTTGCATTATGGTAAATATCCTCCTGTTCTTGAAGGATATAGTGATGCAAGCTGGATAGCTAAAAACTCCGGGAGTTATGGGTGTACCGGGTATGTGTTTACGTTTGGTGGTGGGGCTGTTGCTTGGAAGTCCACTAAACAAACTGTACTTTCTCGGTCTACTTTTGAGGCTGAATTATGTGCGTTGGATACTACGGGAATTATGGCTGAATGGTTTAAGGGACTAATGTCCGAGTTACCTATATTCAGCAAGCCAATTCCACCTATTTGTTTGCATTGTGATAGTAAGAGCACAATTGCAAAAATTAGGAGTACCAAGTATAATCAAAAGACTAGGAGACACATTCAAGTTAGATTAAAAACTATAAGGAAATTTGTGTCTCAAGGGGTGTTCGCTGTTGATTTTGTTGGATCCAAAGATAATACAGCGGACCCGTTGACAAAAGGACTTGATTTAAATCAAGTGATAAAATCAAGGTTAGGAATGGGACTGAAACCCAATAATTATTCATCTACGGTAGCAACCCAACCTATCTGAGTGGAGATCCCACAAAGTAGGTTCAATGTGGTATAAACAAACTGTAGAGTGAATTGTGCATCTCATTAAATAATTTTATGAGTTCCATTCCTTGAAAAGCCTTAGAGATGCTGAAATTGCTAAGTTAGTAAGAGTTAAAGACTCTGAATGGGATCGAGCTTTAATAGCAGAGTGTTAGCAATGCACTCTTGGAGATGCCCAACTATGAGAATGTTATTGTGTGGCCGCAATAAGAGAATAAGGGTTAATTCTCGATGACATTCTTGAGACAGGATCAGGACGCACGGCCGTAAAAGCGTCACCCCTATAGATCGTTGTCATTGCCGTTAGTGTGTTGCTTTTATCCCACGCCAACACAATCAAGGTTCGAGTTCAAGAACTCTGTTCACTCAGTTCCTGTGGGGGTTAGGAGTAAGAGCATAGAATTTGGTTCAAACCGGAAGGTACCATATTCGAAAGCACACTATGTCTTAGAGTTGAGTCAACAACTATGGATTTGTGGGGGATTGTTGGAAATATGATGGAAAATATAATTTTAAGGGGATTCATTTATGAGTCCTAAGGATAAATGTATCAAATATGATTTGGAAATAATATATTATACATCAAAGTACAACTCTTACTGATTGGATTATAACTAACAAAATAATCCATAGTTGTAAAGGCGGTAAAGTGATGTATTAATATGATGAATTTTTGTCACCTATAAAATAGAAGGTCCCATAGTAAAATTATTTTATCTGATAAGGAACAATGTTCAAGTATCATTTAAAATAATTTGAGTTGAGGGATTGCTTGCGTTTTGACAAAAATTGAGACTAGCTGAATCCGAACAGTTTTATTTTTAATAATAAAACAAGACATACGTGGTAGCAAATGTATTCAATTTTGAATTCAAAATTGCTGCTTGAATTGGTCCAGCCGTTATTTACATAATAATGGTGCTTAATGTTTTGGATTAGCATTAAAGTCATGATTTCCGTTTCATGCATTTGATGAACATCAAATTTCTGATTTCCGTTAAGATATATCCCCGCTTCTCTATCGGTACGTAGTACTCCGTATTATATAAAAATCACTTTTGCATGGTGGAGAATACATACTCTCACGTAGGAAATACAAAGTTACTGCATACTCTCTCGTTTTATAATCCATTCTAATTTTCCTTCGGAGCCAGAACTTATTTCCTTGGTTTTGAGAGCATAAAATCCATTCCTTCTTTTGTTGAGTTTTCTCTATTCTCAAAAGGCAAATTGGGCAACGGTCGAAGGTTTCAGTCAAGGTAGCTACAAGTCTGAAACGGAGTAGGATTATCCTGGGAGCGAGCTAGCCAGACCCGTCCGAATAGCTATCGGGATACGGGGGCTATCTTTCTTCAAGGCCAGTCCGTTTTAACGGGCGATCCTGCGATAAGTTTTTCTTATCTTTTCCTTTTCCATTTTAATTTATTCTAATTATTATTATTTTTATTTTGTTCTTGCATTTGGTGGTTTGTCTGGTGATTTGTACAAACTCGGGATATTTATTTGGTTAAACTCGCAATTATAATACTATTGTTCTAACACAATTCACATACAAGAAATGAGAAACAGAACAGCATGCCCACTCAGGTACTCAGGTGGGGGTTATTATTATTACTCCGTATTAAATAAAAAAAATAAAATCTTACATGTCTGGTCAAGAGAGGATCCCTTTCACTGCCAAGGCCATGGCCATGCATTATTCCTGAAAACCTGTCCGGTGTATGAATATCACCTGCAATAAGAGGACTTTTGAAGTCTGTGAGACTTCGGAGAAATACACTTATATGAAAGTCCGTGGACCCATCATCATGGTTCCTGAACTGGGTATAAATCGGGAAAACGAGTGGTTCTTAGAAAAAATGGAAGGTAACTTTAGTGAGGGGGCCTTTTTAGCTACTTTATTGGAAAGGAATTTCATCCAAACCACACCAGTGACACCACGGACTCGACTACCTTACTACTTTTTTGCTACTTTTTTTTCTACTACTCCCTCCGTATCTTTAAAATCTTCACATTTGAAAAATAGGTAGATTAAGAATAGTGAAAGAGAATATGAATTATTGAGGGTATGATAGGAAGATAGTTGAATAAGTTGATGGAATGTAGGATAAATCCAAAAAAAGTAGTTGTAATAGTGTATTATTTTCAGAATTATTGAGGGTATGATGGGAAGATTTAGAAATGAGAAGATTTTTTTGTTACGGACGAAAAAGGAAAGTGGGAAGATTTTAAAGTTACGGAGGGAGTACTTTTTTGCTCTTAAAAGGCAAAGCCAAGCTTGCGGGCCCCAAAGTGCAAGTACAAATGCTCTGCAATTTTGTCAACACACCATTAATTAACAATAGTGAAGCATAGAAAGGGAATATCGCATCTCTATCGTTTACCAGTTGTTACACCGTATGACCGTTATACGGTATATGGCGTACGGTTTTAGTCATTTTTGGAAGTTCCGCATGAAACATGTATTAAAATGATAATGGGTCTTATTATTTATTTATTTCTCTTATTGTTAAAAACTATAATAACTTTTTCATTTGTGATCTGGTTTTTATAAAATTTATATCAAAATTTTTTATTTTTCATGATCTTTCAAATGAGACCAACATTGCCTATGTAATTTTAACATATTATCGAACTATTATATTAACCTATGTAAAATATGTAATTTTACGTGTAGAAATATGTAACTCACGTCCAGTCAGGCCAAATGCAACTCGTGTGTATAAATATGTAACTCTACGTGTAAAAATATGTAACTTTACGTGTAAAAATATGTAACTCGCGTTCAGGCAGGCCAAATGCAACTCGTGTGTATAAATATGTAACTTTACGTGTACAAATATGTAACTTTACGTATGAAAATATGTAACTCACATGTATAAATACATAATAAAATAAATTTTTTATATACACATTTTTAAGATAAATTGTGATTTACACAATTATTTTTCTGTATTAAATTTAGTTCGATTTTCCTTATAATCCAATACTCATTTATATAATAGTTCGATAATTTCTTAAAATTACATAAGCAATATTGGTCTCATTTGAAAGATCATGAAAAATAAAAAATGTTGATATAAATTTTGTAAAAATCGGATAAAAAATAAAAAAGTTATTACCATTTTTTAAAAACAAAAGGAATAATCGCCAATCGAAGTATAACATATCTTAATAACTATTAAGTTAGATACATCGGATTCGCTTCAACAATTCGTGAGATTTCGTTTTCTCCTAGCCTCCTAGGGCAGCCGCCTCTGTTTTTTTTTCGAATTCGATCATATTGATCGAAGTTCGGCTGTTCTTGTTCGCATATCTGGTCGCGGAGCAGTGGTCTGCTTTTGGCTAAGGTAGAGCGATCACGAGTTTTTCTCTCTAGGGCTTTGACTATGTCGGCCGCTGGAGCCTTTTTCCGATTTCGACTTTATCGAAGATCGGTTTTGTTATCCCTTGGTCGCTGGTGCTTGACTAGAGTCCAGGTCAGACGCGGAGGGCGGAGATCGATGGAGGAGGGCAGATTTGTTGTCATGGCTCGAGGAGATCGGCGTTGTGGTCAAGGTTCGAGGATGCGGCGTTGCTGTCGTCGTTGGAGAAGATCGGCGCCGCCTGTCCGCTTACTCTGGTCGCACGGAGCAGGGATGAGTTTGGTTATGCAGGGACGGAAGATTGATGCATGGTCTTTGGCACCCAAAGGTCATGGAGGATCAATTAGCATGGTACCAGTGGTACGACCTCCTCCTGAACCACCACCATGGGATGCACGAGGTGCTAGAGTTCGTGAACGTTTTTCTTGTAGTTTTTATCTGTTTGTTATTTGTTTTCTTGCGTCCATTTTTGTTGTTGGGTTTGACAGTTTGTTTGAGTTTTTTGCCTCTCTTTATGTCATTGGGTATGGTTGGATCTATGGGAATAGTTTTGGCTGTGTCAAGCCCACTACATGGTTAGCGATCCGTGTTGCTCTCTCAGGGGGACCGTCTCAAAGTCTCACCATAGGGTTACAGTCGTAGTTGTTGGAGTTTCAGTTGGTGCCTGTTTTATTTTCCCTTTGCTTGATGTAATGATCCTGATGAATCTTTTGATATGAATACAGGCATGTTTTGATGATAAAAAAAGGAATAAAAAATAAAGAAATCCGTATACCGGTATACGGTGCTCACTGTATACCGGTCATATGGTATAATTTGCGATCGTTTACCAACTTTTTATTAGCCAATTTTGTAAAGAAAAAACTATAATTACTGAGGGGCCCCAACATCGACCGGACGGCACGATGAAAGGATGTAAATTGGACTATAATCACAATTTGACAGATAGAGAGTGGGCTCCGTCCCCGGGAGTCGAACCCGGGACCTAACCCTTGTGGCACTCTCTCACTACCAGTTGAGCTACGCCCACCGGTTTAGCCAATTTTGTATGTATAGAGAAGAGAAATGCTCAAGTCCAGCCAGAGGGACAGGAGCCGCCATCCGAACTCCGCCGTTTGGGGCGATTTCCGTTGGAATTTTTTGATGAAATCTTTTGAGCATGATCCTTATCAAGTCTAGTTTATACACAAAAAATTTCAGCTCAAAATTCGATCGGGAAGTCAGTCAAATAAGTTTTTGAAGTTGACTGCGCAAAATTATACATAGAAAACACAGTCAACTTCAAAATATTATTTGACTGACTTCCCGATCGAATTTTGAGCTGAAATTTTGCGTCAAAGCAAGAAGGGTGCTTCTCCATAGTTTTCTAAAGTCTCCCACCCCAGGAGCCCCCACATCCTTGACCCCACACTCCCACAGAATGATGGAGGAGTAAGTTACGGTGACTCAGTCAGCCCATGGTGGTAGGTCTTATACTCGTGCGCACCAGAGGTCCAGCCCAACACGCAGGAGCTGTAACCTCCACACGGCCGCTGCGAGTTTCGATTGTTGATCACTTTTCTAAATTTCCCACCATTGGACCAACTGAGCTACCCGTGCGGGTAATTATATTGTACTCAAATGTAATATTTACTGTCTAAGCCTCTAACTCTTTGTACACACTACAAACATCTTCTTATTCTTTCATTTCTTCCTTTTCTTCCTTTTCCTTCTCTCTCTTCATTCACATTCCTATATCATCATCTTCCCATCTTCTATACTATTTTAAATCCAATTTTGCATTACTTTCACAAAATTAACATATTTCTCTATATCTATCTACTTTATTATCTTGTATGGTTTTCAAATTACATGTAAGTTGATTACACCGATAATTAAAATTGATCATAACTAAAATAGATTACACATACAATTATTGTAGGAGTACAATAAACTGTTATCTGTGTGATAGAATCTATGTGAACATAGACAACTAAAAGTGACCATGTGGACAATTATTGTATGTGAGCAGCACAACTATTGCATGTGTAATAAAATCTATCTCAAAATCCACAACTCACTCACAAAATACTATTGTCTATGCACACATGCATTGCACACACAAGTTGGTTTGCACGCCACCACTGGCTACTCCCCTTTCACATCTCTCTCTCCGCTCTTGCGTCTTCCTTTTGGTCGATATTTTGTCGATCTCAATGTCTCCCATTTGAGAAGATTTGTGGAGATCAACATAGGTCAGTTTTCCCTCCTCCTCCGTCCCCCCTTCCCCCTCCTCCTCTTTAGCATCCTCCTCCATTGTTTTCTAATGGCTTCATTTTTTATATTTTATTTATTTTAATAAATTTTGTAAAGTTTCCGGATTATTGTTAGTGTCTAATTTGATACTCTCTTCATCATGTTAAGATTGTCTATATTTCTTTTTTTGTTCGTCCCACTAAGATTGTCACATGCCGAATTTGTTAGAAAATATGTGCTTCTAAATCATTCTTACTTTATTAGTTCAATGTCAATAACATAAACTCACTTTTCTTAATAATTGAACCACCTCTTCATGTTCCAATGCTAGTGGAACGAAGATAGTATTTTTTATTGACGCTCATTATTTTTTACTTTAATTTTAATTTTATTAATTTACTTCTAGTGATTTTTGAACCTGAAAGTGTCACAATTAGTATTTTCATTTTTTTCAGTAAATACTCTTGAAAATAGTGTCATCTGAACATTTATTTGGAAAGAATTATATTTTTGGCATTACATTAAAGAAGATGGAAATATTACTTGTATAATATCACACTTTTCAATATGAAAATGTTTTTTTCACATGGCACTAAGGACGGCAATATTGCCCTATTAAGGACGGCAATATGACATCAATATACATTATTATTAAGTTTAAGATGGCATTATAAATCACATTTTTGTAGTTTTATAAATATTCATATTTTTTTATGGGCTTTCCATATTGGGGTCCAATAGTGATCACTCCGGAATACGTGTTTGAGGGAGGCGTTTGTGCGTCGGCCGCCTTCTTGGAGGTGGGGATCAGCGGAGGATGTTCTCATCGAGAGGGTGGTGATGACGGTTCTTCAGAGCGTGGCGGTGAAATCATTGCAAAAGGGTAGTGGATGGCGACGCCAAAGACAACAGAGGAGGGAGGCGACAACGTCATCGTCGTTGGAGGCGGTGGTAGCACAATAACAAGGGGCAATAACTGCCAAGGTTTTTGTTTTTTTTTAAATATTTTTCTGTTTTTAATTGATAGTATATCTAGAACTTTAATAAGAGTAATTTGGTTTAGGCTTACACATTTAGTCATATCAAACATTGAAGTTTTTGTAACTTTTTTAATGTTTTAGTCCTATTAAGAGAATTATCTCTAGACTTTAAAAAATTAAACAACGTCGATTTGACATTTGATTTCTAAAAAAATCAACATATGCCGAGAACCTCCGAGGCACAAATCAATAATTATATTCCAAAATTTTAAATTTTAGAATTGCTTAAAACTAAATATTTGACCGTGTTTTGAATGAAGCAATGTCACAACTGTTAAAAAACATTAC